AGTCAAATGAGTTGAGAAGTTGAAAGTGCAACTGCAGCATGTCACCCTGCTTCTTGTTCCATCACTCACAGCAATATTTCAAACTGATCCGCTGTCAGAAGGTTTTGAAAACGACTGTTATTTTGCTTTGTAGATACTTTTTTAGTGAGTGATAGTGGTCAAGCTCACCAACAAACACATTGCATTTCCTGTGACTAGCTTACTTCAAAATAAAAGTCAAGTCATGTTTTGCCAGTTAAATGCTTTTACTGTGAAGCTGCAGCAATAGGAAATGTTCGCTTTACATTAGCAATAACTTAATACTGAAAACAGTAGCCAGCTGGACATGAATAAGAAGTCGGCTGTTTGGCCGGCAGTCAGCACTTGTGGAAAGCTCTGCTTACACAGTGTAACAGTATGTTACAGTTCCTTTAGTGTCATAAAAACAATTTGCCATGCCCAGAAACGCAAACATCCTGGTGATTTATAGTGGACAATATCAGCTGGATAAGACATTTGTCATACAAGTTTCATATACCTGTTCTTCTTTGTCATGTCTTGATTATTGTTTAATTATGTCCTGAAACCTGATTTCTCCACCCTGTAGGAGATCCAGCAGGAGACAGACATCCCAGAGAGGGAGTTGGTGCGGGCGCTGCAGTCTCTGGCCTGTGGGAAGCCCACACAGAGAGTTCTCACCAAGGAGCCCAAGTCCAAGGAGATTGAAAACGGCCATGTGTTTACAGTCAATGACCAGTTTACCTCCAAACTGCACCGAGTCAAGATCCAGACAGGTACTCAAAATCGTCATGTTTATAGGATGTTTTCTGATCATTTACACAACATATTGTTTTTCATTTCTGATGCATTATTATTGTGTTAGTCTGGTGCTTTCTGAAGACATAAAAGATTGTTTTAATAAAAACATTGCAGCCTTAAATACCAGGAAAAGTCATTAAACTATTATAATCTCAGGGTCACTAAACAGTTAAATGTGTTTAAGCTCCATGTACTGCAATAACTGTAAACAACTGAAAATGGTACCATTGACCTCATCACAGTGAAATTATTTAAAGCACTCACACTCACTACTTGTCTTTTGCATGTATTGTGGTTTGTTGTGCACCACCTAGTGGCCGCTAAACAGGGGGAGTCGGACCCAGAGAGGAAGGAGACACGACAGAAAGTGGACGACGACAGGAAGCATGAGATCGAAGCTGCCATCGTTCGCATCATGAAGTCCAGAAAGAAGATGCAGCACAATGTCCTAGTAGCAGAGGTCAGTCAGCTGACACGGTTCCATTTTGGTCCCGCATTAGCATAGTGGACATAATGAACCCCCTAGTGATGAACTTGAGGATTTACAAGACCCTCCTGGTCCTCAGCCAGGAAATATGGGCAAGGGATGGATCTGAGTTGAAATTGAGTCTTGAAGTCTTACTATAGATAACTCTCCCACTTTAACTCAATAAATATAGTTTATACATGTTCTTTCTTTTGACCACAACCTGACACAGTATTGGACCATCTGGTGTTATAAAGGAACAGAAAATGAAAGCAAAGATATAAAACAAGATGAAATAAAATGACGAGTACTGATTGTGTTACTCTGTTTGGTGTCTCCTCAGGTCACGCAGCAGTTGCGAGCACGATTCCTCCCTAGTCCTGTAGTCATCAAGAAGCGCATTGAAGGACTCATTGAGAGGGAATATTTGGCACGAACACCAGAGGACCGCAAAGTGTACACTTACGTAGCATAAAACAAGTGAATTCAATGAAAGCTAACATCGAGTTGGGAGAAACGGAGAGCCTTGTTTTTTGTGGACTGCATTGCGTTTGAACGAACGAACTTGGAAGTGCTTTCATCGTTGATTCTGGGAAACACTGGGAAGCTTAACTTTTCTTCCATAAAATGTGTAAAAAAAAAAAAAAAAATCATGCAAAAGATGGGGAAGTTTTCTAGCAATATTAGATTTCTTCTGCTGAGAGAAATGAAAAGAGGGGATCTAGTTTTGTACAAAATCATGTTTCTTGTGGCCTTCGGAGAGAATTGGGCGGGCCTGTTTGCCAATTGACTACGTGCTGTCGAGAACGAGCGTAAACATGTTAAAGCAAACATGCGGCTACATGGAGACCAAGAAAACATTTGAATTCACTCCCCTGTTTTAAATGTTGATGTCAATGTGTTATGTTTGTTTTTCTGTGGCACATTGATGGCTGTACAGGTTGACAGGCACTCTTGGCCTTTTCCTCACAGAGGATTTTAAACGTGCAGAAGAGGACAAAGTGTTAACTGGTACAGACCTGGTTTGCGACAGCCGTAAGATACATTTTGAGTACTTGAGAAAACAGGAGAGTGCTTAATTTATGTTGCAAATATGTCTGTTTTTGAGGTTGTTTTAATGTCTGATAACTGCACCTCACATAGCTGAAATATTTAATACCATTTTCAATGTTTTGGCCAGGTCTGTACTAGTGGTTAGAGCGATCAAGAGCTGTAGCTTCACAGCATGCTTTTATCTAATGGATCAATTGGGGGTATAAGACGCACATAAAAGCTCCATAAATGGTGTTTGGTCTCTCATGACACATTTTTCACTTCAGGCCTGCTGTATGATCGGCCAAAAAGATTTATCTCCTCTCTTTGAATGGAAGGTTCATTGATGTGCGGGTTTCAAAGAGGATATATATTTTTTTTTTTTTCATTCTCGACTGCATTTTGAATGGGTTGAACCAGTCTAGCACCATGTTCTAATGTGTACAAATTGTAAAATAATTATTGTACTCACTGCGAAGGTGGATTGTACAGGGCCTTGTTTTCATCATATTAAATGTAGAATAAAAAAATGAAGGGATGGGTTTTTCTTTTTTTTTTAATGTCTTTCATGAGAAGGCCTCGGCAAACGTCAGAAATACTTGCCTCTCTAACCATAATTAAAGCTTAATGGAAATGGTAAGCCACAGTCGAAATCCCAGTGGTCACAAGAGTAACTTTAACTCTGATGTACATTGTTCACTACAGTTGAGATTTAACTTTTATTCATCTAAAAATAATACATAATGCTCAGATTTGTTAAAATGGTTTCAGGGAGGTGTAGATTCAACTGTAACTCAGTTTATTGTTGTTGAATCATACAGTGTCAAACAGATTTTATTTACCTTCTGAGTTAAAATGAGTGGGATTTTTTTTTAGAAACGACAAACTAAAGCCTTTACTAAACTAAACACATTTCTATAACAGTTCCAACAAAACCTAAAACTCTTATGAAAATTAAAATAAAAAAAACTAAAACTACTAATAAGAAATTGTGGGTGGGAATGTTGGCTGTTGAAAAGGCTGATGCTAAAATTGCTTCACTGACTTGCAGTATATGAAAAATTAATATTTCAAGTTTTTTGGAAAAGCTGACGCTAAACTGCAGAGCCTTAATTTGTATGAAGAAGCAGCTGAAAGAGTATTGTAGTTGAATAACTCTCACAAGGTTTGAATGTAGTTTCCAACAGAGTATGAATGAGTAGATATGAGTTGACAAAGTATAGAAAGGAGTTTGAATATTCGCTGTCTGTTGGCTGGGAGCTAAACTGAATTGTTGGCTTTCATTTTTATGAAGAAAGAAAAGTGTCTAATTATAACGAATGAGACTGAAAAGTCGAATACATTGAATGTATGCAACATAAATCAGGTTTGAATTGAGTTCAAGGTTGAAAAATACTGAAACTAGTAGAAAAAGTCTAAAATGTGTGTGTGTGTGTGAAACTGCACAAATCAGCTCATCTCAATCAGTTTTGTGTTCTCACCTGCAATGATAAGGTCGTCATGGTATCTGAGGTAGTTTAGTGACATTAAACTTGGCAGAATAATTAATACATTAAAGGAACAATACTTCAGCAATCACACCCAATAATTGACTTTGACTCAAAGAAATGAGTGACTTACATTCCACTATCAAATCAAAAAGTTAATAGCTTATAGACTTCTTTTGATAAATGGATGAAAGGGACAAAAAGTTGAATAAATTGAAAATACATTAAAGATGTGGAACATTTTAAGTTTTTGAATGGAGTTTCTATCTGAACGTATGAGTGAGCAGATAACAGAAATGCTGAATGCTTTCAGCATCACCAAATAATCATATAAATAAAAAGAAAATTGGATCCAACACGTTTTTCAAAGTCAGCTCATTATTATGTTATTTTGTATTGCTTCTTTTAGGTCAATTTCTATCTGAAAGACTTAATATTCTGTCAGTTTATGCAGACCAAAGTCTCTGCCCAGCTGGTCTTGATTGACAGACAGTTCTTGATGAAAACGGATCATATGAAATATAATATGAATAAATTACTGTGGGGGCGGTGTTGTGAATTAAAAACAGACTTTCAGAAAAATCTAAAATAAAAACAGCTGGAATAAAATAAAATCATCGTAATAATCCGTGTTTTAAAGATTCATAGGATTATTTTAAGTCATGGTTAAATTGCATATCTGTATTTATTCATGTTCCAGTTTCTATTCTAGTTTTTGCTGTGTGTACACACACAGACTGCAGTGTCCTTCACAGGTTAGAGAGTGTCAGGAGCTTTTCACTTCACATTACTTAGAGCCAATAGTCTCGCTCCAAGCTCTGTTCACGAGTTTAATGCTCTTAAAAACCAGGTCTTAACAAACAATGTATTTAATTTCCAGGGTTTAGAGGCTCCCTCCATACGCGCCGTGCACTTTTAAAAAGCTGTCCATCCCGTCTGGACTGTCTCCTTTGTCTCCTCATATCGTTAGACGCATGCCATCTGCTCCATGTTATTATAGGCGGCTTTAGATTTAAAGCAGCACAACTTCTGCTGCTCCCTTTCGCCCCTTCCAGTCTCACTAACTCCCCAGCATGAAACTTCTTTCAACCTGAACAGGGATGAGAGGGGGACACCTCCAGTTTTAGTGTTTTTTCTTTATTATTATCCGGAGCTTATAACTATATATATAGATATATATATATATCTATATATAGTTATTCTTTTAACATAGCGGTGTGTGGTTGCCCGGTGACGTCAGCGTCCCACTAAGAGTCCCATGTTTTGTGTGGAGCAGAAATCATCAGGATGCTTCCCACTCTCTGTCCGGACCGCCGCACGGACCGCTCAGACTCCCGGTGCCGGCGCCACCACATGTGAACCGGGCTATGTTTGGAAGAGAGCCGGCGATGAAAACGTGGACTCCGGGGCTGAAACCGCCGAGTGAGTCAACTGCTGTCGGGAGTTAGCTCCAGGGGCTAACGGTAGCTAGCCAACTCCGTTAGCCGTAGCCACAATGGAAATTAATTTCTGTCCGAGGACGGTAAAATGTGAAGGCATTTCAACCTCTCGGCGCTTTGTTGTACGTTTTTGTTGTTGTTGTTGTTGTGCTCTTTAAGGTGTTTTCCTTCACAAACGAGTATGTTGGCTAACAGCAGATAATGGGTTGTCATGGTGACCGAAGTGAAGGGATTCCAAACCAACCGCCGCGAGATGGAGACAGACGTTGGTCTCCAGTGTTTGTGAAGTAATCTCACTCATGGGCTTCTTGTTCTGTGTCTCACTCAGATCTGACTGCAGCAGGATGTCATTATCTGGCAGTAAGTGCTCTTTCATTCGTACAGATGTTTAAAAGCTGTCGTTTATAATTGCACCAAGATATCATGACTTTTGATCCTAAAGTGAGGTCAAGTCAGAACCTCTGAAGCCTACATTTCACATCCACAGACCCTTGTAAATACCCAGGCCTTTAAACCACCAGTGTGTGGTATAGTTTTAACATTAAAGGTTTGCAGTCTCTCAGCTGAGATTATCTTCTTCAAGTACAGTCACATTCACCGCCTACTCAACAAAATTGTCCCACTTTGACCCCCGAAAAAGTATGCAATGTCACTCTTCCAATTATATTAATCTTAGGCAGGACAATCTTTGTAAATAGTCTAATAGTGGTGATGAGACACCATAAATAAAAGCTCCACAGGCTGCAAAAAAGAAACCCGATAGTATTGAGTCCTAAGGAGAAATGACCTTACTTCTCACTTGATTTATTAGCTGAGTAAACAGCTTCCTGGTGAGTTTCAAGTCTTATTCCATACAGCATGATGTTCATTTAGTAAATGATGGTCCCATTTAGAGTAAAATAGAGATGAAGCAGGGTATACTATAGGGTGTGGTACCTTGTGGTTGACAAGTCATTCTCAGTGAGTCCGTCCAGCACCGCACAAAACTCAGATCAAACTGTCAAACCAGGCAGTGCTGATGAAATATGAATCAAGATGCTGATACTGTGTTGCCTGTTTCTCCCCCTTTCAGAAACATGTTTTAGTGTACTGTTTCTGTGACCAGGCGAGCGCTGTTGTTTCCTGCTGAAGTCGACATTAAGTGCAGCCAGAGAGCGCAGCTCAACTCGCAGTGTGTCACTGCTGCTGGCTCCAATAAAACAACATGGCAACGGCACTGAAGCCAAACTTTAGGCTTCAAAACGGTACTCCACAAACCAGTGGGTGGTGTCACAATAGGTTTGCACTTGTGAGACACACTAGAATAATGACTTCTCCATTTTCAAACACTGTGCATCAGTGTTTATTTTGGCACTAGACTAAACACGAATAAACGAATATTGAATTTGTCTTTTTTAATGTGACTTACCTTTCCAAAGAAGCCAAAATCTTTTTTTGACACACTGACTCATATTCTCCATGACAAAAAAAAAACGATCTTGATCTAAAGTCAGTAAGTTACTGTTCAACTAGACACTTGTTATGGCTTCTGCTGAAACCTCTGCGCTGTCTGGTTTTAGCATTTGCATGTTTTTACTTGTCTAAAATACACAGATCAGACGAAACATTATAACCACAGACCGGTAACGGCTCACTGATGCACGTGGAGGTTGGCGGTCGGCCCGTGTGGTCCGATCCAACTGATGCTGGTTCTGATAGAAAGGTGTCACACAGTGCTGATCGGTGTATCTTTGTACACTTACTGTCCATTGTGTGTGTGTGTGTGTGTGTGTGTTTGACCCCAGCTGAGCTCATGACCAGCCGGGCCAGGCACCAACGGCCGCAGGAGATTCTACTAATGAACTTGCATCTTCTCGCCAACCCTGGAGACTCGCTGCTGCTGCAGCACACCCTAGATCGCCTCCTCCGCTGGCTCTGCCCGAGCCTCCGCATCTTCCATGTATCTGAGAGGGCCTCCCCTTTCAGAAGCTACGCCCGCGTCTGTCCTGTGGCAGGTGAGGATCCTTACCTTCTCATACAGTCAGGACTGCAGAACCCTGTTGTGTCTGAACGTTTAACCACATTGCACAATCTGTAGGTGTATTTTTTTCTGTAAAGACGGAATTAATAATTTCCACATGTGAGAACAAGAGATGTTTACAGGAATTTATACCATTTAAAATTTCCCTTCATGTCAACATCCCCCTCAAATGTTGCACTCTTAACTGAATATTACTTTTATTCTCTGTATGGTATAAACAGGCCATCCCAGAACAAGCTTACCTTGTTACAATTGCTTCTGTTTTTATACCTTTCAGGTTACCCTTCTCTGGCCATCACTTTCTTTCTCCACGAGGCGTATGGAGAGGAGCGAATCCTCAAAGTGCTGGACTTCTTTCAGCGTCCGCCTTGGCAGTACCACCACACGGAGACCTGCAGCAAACGAACTGGAGGGGTCCACATTACCTCCAGCAGCTCCCCAGCCAATGCCCTGATGCGGCCCTACCTCCTGCCCAGCAGAGACTTTTATAGTCTGGGTGCAGGGATGCCTGTGTGGGGTGTTCGACCGGTGCACTGTGGAGGAGAAATACTACGTGTGACACTGTACAGTGGATATGACAACTATGAGGATGCCGTGCGGCTCTATGAGACGGTTCTGCAGCGACAGGCAGAGGAGCAGAAGACAGGCTTCTGCTGGTTCACTCTCCACACCGGTACGCCTTTAAAGTGTTTATTATCCTAAAGCCTTGTTTGTTTATTTATCGAGATCCCCATTAGAGTCTGGTACAAACATAAACACTCACATTACTAGTAACAATACACTAACACAAGTAAACAGTTTAAAGACAAACATTTTTATCTCTCTTAGCCTTTTGTATATCATTTTGTTGTGTAATATGATTTGGAAGTGAATTTCATTGCAGCATTGCTCTGAACTGACAGTTTTGTGTGTAAATACAAATATAATATGTTTTCTAAAGCAAAATGTAACTTTCCTCTCAACAAGTCCAGATTCTGTCTTCTTTCTATTTTTTTTTTTTATTATAATAATAAGAAGTAAAGCAAAAAGGCAGTGAAGTGACCCAAAATGTATTTGTCTACTCTACATAATATCTAGTGACATTATCTGTATATTAATGTAATATTCAAAATGTTGGTTGTATTTTGGAAAAAAAAATCTCAAAACAAGTGAAAGAGAATGACTTTAAATGATGTCACACCATGTCACCACTCTTCTGTTAACAAGAGACTTTTATTGTCATTCCCATTTGTTCTGTCCTTTGCTCTCACTGTGCCTCCGTACGTACGTAGAGCCCGGGCTGTGCCTGCAGTTGGCTTTAAAGCAGTTGTCTCCAGGGGTTCGAGTGGAGCCATGCAGCTCTGCTGTGCTGCAGTTCAGTGTGGAAGAAATTGGCCAGCTAGTCCCTCTGTTGCCCAACCCCTGTACCCCCATCAGCTCTACACGCTGGCAGACAGAAGACCTGGATGGCAACAAGGTTCTCTTCCAGGTAAACACAGCTTAAAATACCTGTCATCAAAAGTGATGAAAGGTTTGATGTAAAAGTGTTCGCACATGTTGGCTGATGCCTAATGTTTGTTTATTTTCTGCTTTAATTGTTTGTTTTTCATGCAGCTTAATGACTGATGTTGATGGATTTTAGTTTGCCCCACACTTATATGTTACAACGGAGGAAAGGTTTCCTCTTGATTTATGTTGGGTCAGATCATGAGGTTTGTCAAACATCAGTGGTTGCGTGAGTCTGAAGCAGCCTTACTTTAACTGTAAACACACAGCAGTCTGCTGGAAGGTTTACTCTGTAATCATCTCACAACAACAGAGAGTCCAAAGAGTCCAAAGAGCAGGATCTTTGTTCATTGTCCTGCTCAAATGTTTTTTGTAGAACAGGAGATTTTGTACTCATTATGTAGCTAGCCAGGTTTCTCAGTAGAGTTGTTGTTTATGTTTTATGTTTGCTTTGGAGGGAAAGCAGAAGTTGTTTGTGAAATTAAGAAATGTTAATGTGTTGCCTTTCCGTTTTATATGTATGTTTTTGTTATTGATGACACATTAATGATTTAACCTGGAATAGATCAAGGAGAAGCTTTTCTTCTATTCAAAATTATTATTATTATTATTATTAATTATTATATTAAATAAAGAGATCTAAAAATGTAAATAGACAAACAACATCAGTTATTGTTATTATATTATCTTAAAACACAGTGTTTGTAATGCAAATCACATTTAGTCACCAGATTTTGTCCAAATACTTCAGTGTTAATGTAATCGAAACAGATGTATTATTTTTGCTTCGTGATAAAAAATAATAGAACATCTGTGTAGATATAGAAATAGAGTTTTACTGTCCAAATGCTTTTTTGAAGAGAAAGTATTATTATTTAACAGAATCTGTGATTATTGTGAACCAAATCAGGTACATGATTAATTTAGAAGATCTCAGATTAGAAATATCCAAATACAATTATATACACGATGATGAAGAGCAAGTCTGGTGGGAAAACTCATTTGTGTTATATGTGATTGCTGTTTTCTTTCCTTGTGTCTCAAATCTAATTGATTGGTGCCGGTGTCAGTTAAGTCACAGATCTGATGATGAAACGGAGCGTAACAAAATCAAACAGAATTTTTAAAAAGTAGATTCATCCTGTTCAAACTACAGAATAATTAGTGTCACTGTCTGCATTAGATGTCGTTCATTATGACCAACACCACAAGATAAAACAGCATCACTTCAACAGCAGAAAGGGGGGATGAATGTCATTCTTCCTGTGATAATGAAATCAAAATGGCATGTGGTTGCTGTGTTTAACCAAAGCTGTCACAACAGCCATATGTTAGATGCGTGTATGTTAATTCTGACAAAGTTACTTAACTTGCTTAAATCTCTCTAGTCCTGCTGTAGCCTAAAGCATAATCCCTCTCCTCCTGTCCTCCTGTCCTTCTGTGCTGCAGGTGAAAACCCCAGCGCAACCTCAGCGACCTCTGACCTGTGCTTTCCCCCTGACCTGTCCCATTGTGTCCCCTCGAGGAATGCCGCTGAGGAGCTCGGGACAGGGCCACAGCCTGTCGCCCTGCAGCCTCACAACGCCCGTGCCCTGGCAAACACACAGGCAAGGTCAGTACACTAAAGTTGTTGATTAAGATGCGGTGCTCAAATGTATCTGCAGTATTAAACCTGCTGCATATATTAGATGCATATAAGAAGCTTGAGGGAAGAGACAGCAGGAGAGGACACCATACCCGCAGTCAGACGGGTCTCTACATTACAGACCCTAAATTCCACTGAGTCAGCCTGAATGATTTGACTCAACTATTTTTAATTTCCCCCACCACTCACATAACCAGTGTATTAAACAACCGTTTTTATGTGGGAGGCTTATTGTGGTCATAATCACCATGACGAATCACAGTGAAACAGAGACATGGAAAGTTGGCCAAATAAGTGTGAAGTCTTAAATGTATCCTATGGAGTTTTTTACCAGTCGTGGCACTATGGAACAATTTTTTATTTTTTTGGGTCCCGGTTGTGTTGTCTTATGCATGAGCCCGCTGGGGACGTGATACACATTCCTGCCGATGGTTTCACACTAGTCCACTGATCTGTGAAGTGCAACAGTGTGCCGACAACAAAGGCGGGGAAGTAGAGGTTTCAAAGAGTTCTGGATTTAAAATGACATTTGTTAGATACACCGCTCAGAGATACAAACAGAGGGTTTGGTGAATAACACTGAATGTAAACTGAAGTTTTGTTTGTTTAAAAGAAAACTCCACAGGTAACCTTTAATATTTGAGATGAGTAACAGTTGTTTCAATTAGCCACTCAGATACATTACTTACAGTTTGCTGATGTGGATCAGACTTTTCTGTAGTAGTGTTTTATCAAAGTTCTCTGACCCAAGAGCTTTTTTTAGGTTACATCAGTCTCCAGCTGTTAGTGAGCTGTCAACTTTCTATTACTCGAAACAGTCATCAAAAATCAATATATTTGACAACTAGTCACTTTTTTAAATTGAAAACACATCAAGAAATTATCAAAACATCAGTCTGATCCCGCCATCTGCAAATCATCTGACCCCGAGGTTATGTAAACCTTTTCTTATGCACAGAACTGTTTCATGTATAGTGACATATGAGTGTAGTACAATAGCAAAGGCCCACTTTTGTGACTCTGCCTGATGTGTCTTTGGTTGTCAGTAGGCCACAGACCGCGCAGTGACCCCGTCCTGGAGAAGCTTCATGGAGGAGGTGGTGGAGCGGAGAGCCTGGGATCAGGCAGCTGCTGCAGCACTCCTCCAGGCAGCTCCTGTTACTCATCCCAGCGCAGCAGCCCTGCACCGCTCTCAACCACCAATCACCCTGACTCTCCTCTGCGCCCCTCCATCACCCGTTCGCTCTCCCATCTCCTTCTGGAAGAGGATGAGGAGGAGACCAATGTAGACACAGGAGTCCCAGTCTCTCTTCACCCTGACACAGCAGTCAAAACAATTGCTCGCTCTTCGTCCATGGACCTTTTGATGAGTTTCCATTCTGAGAGACCTGCAGCTGTCGGGGCTTCAGCTGGTGAGGGTCTGGTCAAGGAGCTGATTGAATGTCTGCCTCGGGCACACATACACCCTCAGGGCCCCTCCAGGACACGGGCCTCCACTGGCTGTACAGACGCAGCCAGGAATGGCTGTGGCAGCAGGACTGTGGCGGCAGGACAAAGCCCCTTAAAAGGGCCCGTGGTGGAGAACAGGACTACTGCTGAGCTGCTGTCAGCACACACAAACAACAAGGAGCCAGTCGATGAGTTCTTCATCTAAATTCCTGCCACTACGCTACATGCTGCGGTAATTATCACAGTGTAAGGGAAAACATAGAGAAGTTGGACAAGATGAGAAATCCTTCAAAGAGGATCTGAAGTCATGCAGGACTGCGTAGTCTGATAAAAGAGCACTTCTCTGGAAACCAAAGTTCAGCTGCAGGTGACACCTTTCACTCAGAAGTGTCTTAAGACTGTAAGTGGTTTGACTTGTCCTGAAATGTCCAAAATATACAGTAATTATCCAACTCCTGCTCTAACAGGCCGACTAAGAGAAGTGGAACAAGGTGAGTGATATTTGACAGTCCAGGTAATAATAATTATATTGTTGAATGTGTTAATTACTTTTATATTTAGATCCAACTAATGATTTGTGCAGCTAATGTGCTAAAATGTAGCCATGTGAATAGCAAAACACGTCTGTGTTCGGTGTTACTGTCGGGTTACGAGTGCCAGTCTAGGTTTCTGTACAGCCACTCAGCGCCAGCAATGTCTTATTTATCGATGGCCTTTGAAACAGGTGAAGATGAGCTCAGCGTGAAGTCACTCTTTGATGTCGCTGTTGATCGTGATTAGAAATCTGATTTAGTCTGAGCTCCGTCACACTGCAGCACCGTCAGTCTGTTACAGCTCTGGCTTTACATAGTAAAAGTAAAAAGTATAGCCCAGTGGCTTCTGATCACATTTGTTAAAATGCTCTGCAGCTGATCCTTGCTCTAGTGTTTGTGTGTTACAATGTGTAAGTGGTGGACTAGACCTAGACAGATTACTGTATTGAAGAAGATTGTATTTTCATCTTTATATAGCCTAGAGTTAAGACTTCAAAGAACATTTGGAATTTACAAAAAATCTCTAATCATGTGTAATATACATCTTAATATTAATCTAACCATTTGTATGTAAGGTGTCTGAATAGCCCAAATGTGTCAGGAGCCTGAGACTTCAGAAATGTTAATTACTGTAAGGCCACAGTAAGCTGAGGGATCAGCAGACAGATTAAGTGAAAACTTAGCCAATACATCATCAGTATTAGACTGGTCCAACAGATGGTGGTAGTCAAACCCACAACGATTTTTGCACAGTGCCCATGATCACTAGTGTTTGTAGTTGTTTCGAGACAAGTCTGATAAAAGATAGTATTGTATACTATGCATTTTAATGACCACACTTATGACTCAGGTCGTACTACTCTCTTCTACAACACTGATTACTCACCTAACAGATAAACCTGTGTCTAGTGTTCCCTTGTGTTTCATGTGCATTATGGCCAGTGCTTAATCAGAGGCGTATCATTTAAGGATATTCGATATGAGCTGCTCCTGTTGGGCTGCTCACTGCTCAACAGGATACCGTGACACCCACGCTGTCCTGCAGGGCAGCTCGGGGGTGTGAATGTGTTTCACTTTTGACTGGAAACTTTTTTCCAAGCATGACAGTGAGTGTGTCACCCATGAGGCTCCTAAGTGTCGATCATGTTCGAGGTGAAATGTCTTAAGGCTTTAGTATTAAAACCTAAATGAATGAAAATGCTTTCTGTTGTGGTCTGTTCATGAAATCCATCTGTGAGTGTCCTGACAGATGTTTCCACATGACTAAAAGATTCAGTTCAATAACTATGTAATGGCACTGTCAAAATAAAT